ATGGATTATACATTTTTCTTATTTAAACTATAAATATTGCAAAATTATGATTTTTTTTCCTTGAATGACACCCCACCCAAGTTATGCTCAGGCTTTTGGCGAAATTTGACACACCAAGCTCAAAAGGTTGCCCATCTCTGCAGTCTAGGCCATGGCCATATAGCCCGAGAAAACCTACAACAGCACAGTGATTCCAGCCATGAAAGCCTTCGACAATACAAGAGATGATGATCAAAACACATGTAATAACGGAAGCATAAAGGTCAAACCCAGAGCCATAGAGGTGGAAAACAATATCCAAAAGGACCTTCAGTTTTCCATGAAGCCCGCCTCTTGCCTGCCTTTCCCGTCTCTGATGTTTTGACCCTTCCAAATCAGTTTTTACTGTTTACTGTTATTGTTTAATGTTTTGATTTGCTTTATGGTTTATGTGTATTGTTGTTGTGTTGAGGCCGTGGCCTTTGTAAGCCGCATTGAGTCCTTCGGGAGATGCTAGCGGGGTACAAATAAAGATAATAATAATAATAATAATTATAATAATAATAATAATAATAATAATAATAATAATGAAAAAATATTGCAACATTGTACTCTCATTTTTCGCAAACATGCTGCTTATTAAGAAAAAGAGACACCATTTAATAATACATAATCCTAAAACTGTGCAGTTCCCAGAGTGGCGGCCACAACAAACTACAAAAAACAAATCGGAAAAACCACACCAATAAAAGACTCTTACACAGATACATGAAGGACACGAGCAAATGAACAAACCTGGATCTCAATTCTACTCCCCTGAGAATGATAATCCTACGCAAGATCACTTCTGCTTTTGGCAACACTCTTCGAATTCATAAATCCCATGGTTGACATGTGCTGCTGTTGCTGCTGTTGTTGCTGTGAAAAAGCGATAAAGAAGTCCGAGTCTTTCTTGAAGTTGATCAAAGATTTCTCTTTCATCGGCAGAGTCACTTTGTCCATCTTTGATCGATCGCGGATCTTCATCCGTCATTCTCCTTGCGGGATAACAATGCGGGTTTCTCCCATCTCGGAGGATAAACTATGCTTGCCACAGTCATCTAATAACTCTGGGCATCTTCCACATTTTTATTCTAGACAGCTGTCCAACTTTCCTATGAAACAAAACTCTAGGCTCACTGTAAATGTAGCATTAACCATTTCCGTCCACCCTTTTTGCAAAGGAACCCCAATATGAAAAAATATTGCAACACTGTACTCCCATTTTTCAGCATTAATGAGCATTGCCTTTGTGTGTCTTAGATCAGAGTTTTCCAAAGGGTATGCCATGGCACACGAGTGTGTTGCCTGTTGTCTACAGGTACAACCCATGAAACATGGTTCTCCCCCGTCCCTATTGGGAGTAGACGCCCTCTCCATAGACAGTCATCCAACCTCAGGTCAAAAACCTCCAGAGGAGACTCCAGACTTCACTGGGGTTGGAAGAGGTCCCCAAAGGGCACTTAGTTCACCCCCCTAAAGCCAGCCAGGAAGACACACGCAAAGCACCCGAGGAAGGTTACCCGACCTCTGTTTACAAACATCCAAAGAAGTTTAATCACTACAGAAGGGGGTGTGTGTGCTAGTATGCTGAAGTTTAGGTTCTGTTATAGCTTTTGTTATTTGCACAATTTGTTGATTGAGTTGCAGTAATTATCACTAAAATGGATAAGTTTTGAATTAAGAAAATAAAATCTGTTGACAACTATGTTTGTGATGAACCACATGGAGCAGCTATAGAGGAAAGTACACAAGAATGGTTTATAGGTAAAAAATATAACAATAATACTTTATTTGTAACCTGCTGTAATGATTCTGACTCACTTTCGAGCTACCTTGGAGGACTGGCGTGTGAGCAGCCATTTTGTGGTTCTCAGGGAGTCACAGCACCAGGGTAGAAGCTATTTGCATGACAGCAACCAAATTGGCTGGATGCAAATGAGCGGGTGCCAAGGTTTGAAGGATTGTAGAGTCAAGGATGACAGTTGAAGAAGCCTAACTGAACATTCTGGGGAGTTGGTTAGTGAGCTAAGGTCAAGGAGGACATTAGCTGGAAAGCTACTGGGAAAAATTAGTCAGAGGAATAGGTTTGAAGATAGTTCTGTTTTATGTAGGAATGTAACAGTCCTTTTGGAGAAAAGGAAAAGGTTGAATGAAAGTTATACTGAAATGTCATTCTGTAACCACCAAGCTTTTATACCTTTGTAACCATTACGCTCTTGCCTCAAAACGCTAAACAAAGCCTCTTTTTCAGTATCTCACCTCCAACCTAAAAAGATCCAAATGGTGGGATAACAAAGTAAAGGTCTACCTGTTGAAGTGCTTGCCCTGCTTCATTTCAACTGGTGGCAGTGGTGGGATAACAAAATAAAGCCCCCCCCCCCCGCCTGAAGATTGCTATTATTTCGTTTCACCTGCCCTATCTCCCCAAAGAAACTTATAGCTATATATTAATATATTACATTACATTGTATTTATTGAAAAGCATAAATGGGGTTGGTTTAATCTATAATTTGCTAGTTAAACTGAATTACTGTGAGGCAAAAGGATGAATGTCTAAAAAAGTGTGACACTAACATCAAAAGTTGGAAAGATCTGTCTTGGAGAATCTCTATGGGTCAAATATCACTATTCTCGCCAATGTGAATTCTATGTCTGTGTAGATTTGAACTCTTAGATAAGCTCTTTCAGCATGCCATGAGTTTATAGGATTTGTCTTCACGGTGAGTCCTTTGATGTGAATGGAGGTTTGCGCTATTTGTGAAGCTCTGCCCACACTCCAGGCATGTATAGGGTTTCTCCCCAGTGTGAGTCCTTTGATGTGAACGTAGACCTGAACTATGAGTGAAGCTCTTTCCACACTCCAGACATGTATAGGGTTTTTCTCCAGTGTGAGTCATTTGATGTGAACGCAAACCTGAACTATGAATGAAGCTCTGCCCACACTCCAGGCATGTATAGGGTTTCTCCCCAGTGTGAGTCCTTTGATGTGAACGTAAACCTGAACTATGAGTGAAGCTCTGCCCACATGCCAAGCATGTATAGGGTTTCTCCCCCGTGTGAGTCCTGTGATGTGAATGTAGATTTGCTCTCTGAGCAAAGCTCTTTCCACACTCCAGGCATGTATAGGGTTTCTCCCCAGTATGAGTCCTTTGATGTGAACGTAGACTTGAACTCTGAGTGAAGCTCTGTCCACACTCCAGACATATATAGGGTTTTTCCCCAGTGTGAATCCTTTGATGTAAACGTAGACTTCCATTCTCAGTGAAGCTCTGTCCACAATCCAGGCATTGATAGGGCTTCTCCCCAGTGTGAGTCCTATGATGTGAACGTAGACTTGAAGTATGAGTGAAGCTCTTTCCACACTCCAGGCATGTATAGGGTTTTTCCCCAGTGTGAATTCTTTGATGTGAACGTAGACTTGAACTCTGAGTGAAGCTCTGTCCACACTCCATGCACGTGTAGGGTTTCTCCCCAGTGTGAGTCCTTTGATGTGCATGTAGACCTGAATTATGCGTGAAGCTCTGTCCACACTCCTGGCATGTATAGGGTTTCTCCCCAGTGTGAGTCCTTTTATGTGAATGTAGGCATGAACTATGAGTGAAGCTCTGTCCACACTCCTGGCATGTATAGGGTTTCTCCCCTGTGTGAGTCCTTTGATGTGACCGTAGACTTCCACTCTCAGTGAAGCTCTGTCCACACTCCGGGCATGTATAGGGTTTCTCCCCAGTGTGAGTCCTTTGATGTGAATGTAGATTTGCTCTCAGAGTGAAACTCTTTCCGCACTCCAGACATTTATAAGGTTTCTCCCCAGTATGAGTCCTTTGATGTGGACGCAGATCTCCACTCTGAGCAAAGCTCTTTCCACACTCCGGGCATGTGTAGGGTTTCTCCCCAGTGTGAGTCCTTTGATGTAAATATAACCCTCCAGTGGAAGCGAAGCTCTTTCCACACACAAGGCATTCAAAGGGCTTCTCCCCGGTGTGAATCCTTTCGTGTTGCTGGAGACGATCCCTCCGAGCGAAAGTCTTTCCGCACTTCAGGCATTTCAATGCTTTCTCCTTCATGTCAAGAGTGATATAGCGGTTTGATTGCAATACGGATACTTGACTCTTCTTTTTTACCTTTCTTATCTGCAAGTAAGGTCAACAATTCAGCAAGATCATCACCTTGAGGGGATTTCTTCTTCCTATATTATTGGTTTCCTTACTGCACGCAAGAGGCAGCTCCATAGAATCCTCATTTCCCTGGTCAAGAAAGAAGCAAAAGATCAAGGATGAAAGCCAGAAACCTTCTTTAGCTCCAAGATACCCCCCCCCCACCTTTCCCTTCATGGGTCGTGTTGAAAAGGGAAATACCAAGAAATGCGGACACCAGGGTCTCAAGCACATACACAAATACAAGCAAAGGGGCTCTCTGATTCTTAAACAAAAGGGGACAGAATCCAGAATAAGAAAACAAGGGAGGAAGGAGGAAGAAAAGGTTGAAAGATAGAAGCCCGTTCRCCCCCCCCCACCCCCCAGGGCATTGAGAAGGGCGGGGTACAAATACCTGAAATACATAAATAAATAAATAAATAAATAAATAAATAAATAGAAGACAGAAAGGGGAACTTTTTCCAATATTGTAGCATCACCTTGATTTCATTGGATTGTACAAAAACATGGCGAAAGGGACGGAAGGCAGGCAGAAAGGAATTTTTCTTTCCAACATTAAAGGATTCTCCCCTATGAACCATCAAGGCTATTAACCATCAAGGCTATTAAGATCTTCCGGGGGGGGAGGGCTGCTCTCGGTCCCACCACCCTTGCAATCACGGTTGGTGGGGATGAGGGACAGGGCCTTCTCGGTGGTGGCTCCCCGGCTTTGGAACTCCCTCCCAGTAGAGATTAGATCTGCTCCCTCCCTCCTGACTTTTAGGAAACTACTAAAAACCTGGCTCTGGAGTGTGGCATTCGAGGACTGAACCTATAACCTCCGTCCACAAGGAAGGGGGATGATGGACTGTGACTATGATGACTATGATTATGGCTATGACTATGACTGGATTGACGACTTGGCTTAGGTAATTGTACTATTTTGATATGTCATGACATTGCACTTTGTTGTACTTATATATTATTGTACTTGCATATATGCTGTAAACCGACCTGAGTCCCTCGTTGAGGTGAGAAGGCCGGTATAGAAAACTTCTAAATAAATAAATAAATAAACAAATAAATAAATAAAGGGCATCATTCACTGGATAATGGGTTTCCCTGAATTACCAGGATGTGCTAAATGCTGAGAGACACAAAAGTTACTGGGCTGCTTACCATCCCAGGTCTGCTTCCTAAGCATCCCAAATTAGATGCCTGTTGCCACTGCATTCCCTGCCTTTTCCCAAAGGAATCCTGCAGCCAACCAAGACCCTGCCTCCCCATCCCTCTAATTCAAACCCACATTGCGGCTGGCTCATCGCAAAACGATCCTCTGCTGAACAAAGTCCCCTTTGGGCCATTCACTCCTCGGCCGAGCCCCAGGGTGGGATGCCCAGCACGCGCTGCTCCACCCACAATGCCTTTTCCCCTGCCAACCTCTTTCACCTTTGCCCACTCCCTCCTTTCTCCCTTGTCTTCTGTCCAGGGGGAGATTTTCAGCCCCCAAAGGAGAGCCAGAAAAACACACCGTTTTCATAGCTGGGGTAGAAATACCTTTGAACAAGGCATATTTTTAATAATGTTTCTGTACAAGTTTCAGGAATCAAACACAACGAGGATCAAGTACCGAAAGCACAACAATCCCAAATAAACAGCTCAGAGGAAGATCTCGGGGGCTCACATGTTTTTACACCAATGCACAGAGCATGGGAAATAAACAAGACGAACTCCAACTTTTAGCACAACACCACAAATACGATATCATAGGCATCACTGAAACCTGGTGGGATGACTCCTATCGCTGGGATGTAGACATGGAGGGCTATAACCTCTTTCACAGAAACCGAACAAAGGGGAGAGGAGGCGGAGTAGCCTTATATGTCAAAAACTGTTACGCTGCAGAAGAGATGCAAGACAGCAAACTGGGAAATCAGCTTGAAAATGAACTGGTAGCCAGGGCTTCTCTTTCAAGACCCTGCTACCAACCCAGAAGCCCACTGCCCACCACTGGGCTCAACCTCCCAGGTCCCCACGATGCCAGGGTCCACCCCCTCGGTGTGACATAGGCTGCCCCTCTGACGGAGGTTGGACAGGACTCTTTCGGGGGAGCGGGGAGCTTTGTGGCCATGGGTTTTTTTTTTGCATGGTGAAGTGGGGTCAGACTATTTATTTATTTATGTCTAGTATTTTTATCCTGTCACTTCTCTACCCTGGAATTCCTGGATGTTTGTGCAGGCGTTCGAGTAATCTAGTGCAATATTGGTAATTGAACATAGGAATGGAACAATGGACGACGAACCTGGACTACGCTTTGATGATGAGACGATTGGGCTGGTTATTGTAATAATTGTTTAGTGTAATTGCTTGTTGTTTATTAATTGGATAATGTGTTAAGTGGTCAATTGTTATATATGCATTGAATTATTGCTGTTTTTATTGTGTGTAAACCGCTGTGAGTCGCCTTCGGGCTGAGAACAGCGGTATATAAGCAAAGTAAATAAACAAACAAACAAATAAATAAATCTACCCCTGTAGGGGGGACTCAGGACAGGGTGGCCCTCAGGGTCCCTTCCGGGGGCAACTCCTCACAATGGCAGTGCCCCAAAACAAGGAGCAGAGACTCCCCTTTCCTGTCCATTCATTCCCTGAACAGCACTTGGACTCATCAGAAGGGAAGAAGGCAAGGAGGGGTGGGCTGCAAAAGGAAACAGCGGGTGGGATGTTCTCTCTAAGTTCTCCATGAGCGGATCCATGCGCCGCCGTATTCCCTGGGGTGGGCTCCGTCGCAGCGCCATCCTGAGTTCCGGGACACAAGCTGGGATGAAATCCCATGGCTTCAGTGGCAAAACCTAGAAGCAGTCTTGCATTTGCAAGGGAGTCAGTCTGATTTGGGCAGTGTGGAGGAATTGTACTCCAAGGTGTTAAACACCCACACTGTTGCTCTCTGCTATCCTGCTCTATAATGAGGAAAGCAAGCTGTAGCTTATCTAGGACGCCCCCACCCTTTCTTAATTTTGTTTACCAGATTTAGCACACAAAAAGTTCAGTAATTTTAGTTTACCCCTTTATGATTGGCCAAGCTTTTCAAAAGGTTTTCATTACATTTTGCTCTTTTGCAGCCTACTGCGATTTTCCGCAGAAGGCTACAAAGCTTCAAAGCAATTCCCATTTTATGTCTTGTCGAAGGCTTTCATGGCCGGAATCACTGGGTTGTTGTAGGTTTTTTCGGACTATATGAGGATGCTTGTCATAGATGCAGGCGAAATGTCAGGAGAGAATGCCTTTAGACCAGTGGTTCTCAACCTTCCTAATGCTGTGACCCCTTAATACAGTCCCTCATGTTGTGGTGACCCCCAACCATAACATTGTTTTTGTTCCTACTTCATAACTATTGTTACAAGTCATAATGTAATGTAAATATCAGATATGCAAGATGTATTTTCATTCACTGGACCAAACTGGGCACAAATACCCAATACAACCACATGAAAATGCTAGTGGTGTTGGGGGAGGATTGATTTTGTAATTTGGAAGTTGTAGTTGCTGGGATTTATAGTTCACCTATAATCAAAGAGCATTCTGAACTCCACCAGCGATGGATTTGAACCTAATTTGCCCACACAGAACTCCCATGACCAACAGAAAACACTGGAAGGGTATGGTGGGTATTGACCTTGTGTTTGGGAGTTGTAGTTCCCCTATATCCACAGAGCACTGTGGACTCACGCAATGGTGGATCTGGACCAAACTTGGCACAAATACTGAATATGCACAAATGTGAACACTGGTGGAGTATGGGGAAAATAGATCTTGACATTTGGGAGTTGTAGTTGCTGGGATTTATAGTTCATTACAATCACAGAACATTCTGAACTCCACCAACGACAGAATTGGCTCAAACTTCCCACATGGAATCCCCATGACCATCAGAAAATACTGTGTTTCCTGATGGTCTTTGGTGACCCCTCTGACACCCCTTCGCGACCTCCTCAGGGGTCCCGACCCCCAGGTTGAGAAACACTGCTCTAGAACATGGCCATATAGCCTGAAAAAACCTACAACAACCGAATTCCCATTTTATTATGAATGACAAATTCATGCGTGCTCACACCCATGAAAACTAAAATATGAAATCAGGAAGACCAACTGTATTCAAATGTTGGATTAAAATGAGCAGCAATGAAAACCAGAGACATTCCCAAAGGAGGATCCACTGAAGATTTACTGAGATAACAAGCAAGACGGTGAAGAGCAATGCAGGATGTTCAAAATCGTGTGTATATATTGTATTAAACAGAACAGAAATAATGACTGAAGCATAATAATAGAATCCAAACTCATGTGACCAACATATAGGTGGGAAATGTCATTCAAAGGCAGCTTGAATTAGGCATGAAACCCGTCCGTCTTGGCTAAAACCAGGCCTATCGGCCACTCCGGTCTCAGCGGCTCCAACCAGTCGCCCTTCGAGGAACTGGTTTTTATTCAGAAAAAAAGAATCAGTGAAAAAACAGCACAAAAAGAAGCCGAAATGGATAATATAGAATGCAAAAACTATACCACTAATTAACTGGCTATTAGAACAAGCCGCAAAACAAAATAAGAAACAAACTCCCAACAGAACACACACCTACACAGACACACACTCACACCAACTACAATAATAAATGTACAAACAATCATGGATACAATTCCATGAGCCCCACATTCACAATACGTTAGATAGTACCATAACTGCACTTCTACTTTGCCCTCATTGTTATTGTGAAAAAATGAGAAAGAAGTCGCCATCTTTCTTGAAGGTGTTCAAATAGTGTGTCCATCTTGGCTAGTTCACGGGTCATAGCCGTTCATCTTGTGTTGGGATAAGAGGTTCCTCCCCTCTCTGAGGACAGCTATTCTTGCGACAGTTATCATGTATGGCAGTGCTCTTCCTAATGTTCTTTCTAAATGGTCATTCAGCATTCTTAACAAATAAAAACACTGGTCTCATTGTGACGCACAACTTCTTCCAGCAACGTATGTATTTCAGACCAATATTTCTGGGCCTTTTTGTAAGGCATCTGATAAACATTTCCCAATATTTTGCCCATGCTTCAAACTCTAACTAGAGTTGTCTTTGTGCACCCTAGAGAGTCTTCTCAACATGGGTTCTATGATGTGAACGAAGATTTCCATTCTGAGTGAAACTTTTTCCACACTCCAAGCATTTATAGGGTTTCTCCCCAGTGTGAGTCCTTTGATGTGAACGTAGATCTCCACTACCGGTGAACCTCTTTCCGCACTCCAAGCATGTATAGGGTTTCTCCCCAGTGTAAGTTCTTTCATGCCTCTGTAGCTGCCCACTGTGAGTGAAGCTCTTTCCACACTCAAGACATTTATAGGGCTTCTCCCCAGTGTGAGTTTTTTCGTGTCTGTGTAGATGTGGATTCTGAGTGAAGCTCTTTCCACACTCCATGCACGTATAAGGTTTCTGCCCAGTGTGAATTCTTTCGTGAGAACGTAGATCTCCACTCCGAGCAAAGCTCTTACCACACTCCAAACAAGTATACAATCTCTCCCCAGTGTGAGTTACTTCATGTCTATGCAGATCTCCACTAGATGTGAAGCTCTTTCCACACTCTAGGCAGTTATAGGGTTTCTCCCCAGTGTGTGTTCTTTGATGTTTTCGTAGATGTCCCCTCGCAGCAAACCTCTTTCCACACTCCAAGCATTCATAGGGTTTCTCCCCAGTGTGAGTTCTATGATGTTGATGTAGACTGCCGCTCGCACTGAAGCTCTTTCCACACTCCATGCATTTGTAGGGTTTCTCCCCAGTGTGAGTTTTTTGATGTTTCTGTAGGTATCGCCTGTGAAGAAAGCTCTTTCCACACTCCAGACAGTCATAGGGTTTCTCCCCAGTGTGAGTTCTTTGGTGTTTATGTAAACCTTCATTTCGAGTGAAACTCTTCCCACACTCCAGGCATGTATAGGGTTTCTCCCCAGTGTGAGTCCTTTGATGTAAACGTAGACTTCCACTCTCAGTGAAGCTCTGCTCGCATTCCAGGCATGTATAGGGTTTCTCCCCAGAGTGAGTTTTTTTATGTGAACACAGACCCCCACTCTGGGAGAAGGTCTTTCCACACTCCAGGCATTTATAGGGTTTCTCCCCAGTGTGAGTTCTTTGATGTTTATGTAGATCTCCACTCCGAGTGAAGCTCTTTCCACACTCCAGACAAGTATAGAGTTTCTCCCTAGTGTGAGTTTTTTGATGTGAACGTAGATTTCCACTCTTACTGAAACTCTTTCCACACTCTATGCATGTATAGGGTTTCTCCCCAGTGTGAGTTCTTTGATGAGAACGTAGGCTTCCACTCTCAGTGAAGCTCTTTCCACATTCCAGGCATATATAAGGTTTCTCCCCAGTGTGAGTTCTTTGATGTTTATGTAGATTTCCACTATGGGTGAACCTTTTCCCACACTCCAGGCATTCATAGGGCTTCTCCCCAGTGTGAGTTTTTTGATGCTTATTTAGATGATCACTCCGAGTGAAGCTCTGTCCACACTCCAGGCAGGCATAAGGTTTCTCTCCAGTGTGGGTCCTTTGGTGTAAATGTAGATGTCCACTGTGGGCAAAACTCTTTCCACACTGCAGGCATTGATAAGGTTTCTCTCCAGTGTGGGTTCTATGATGTTGTTGTAGATGATGACTCCGAGTGAAGCTCTTTCCGCACTCCAGGCATGTATAGGGTTTCTCTCCAGTGTGAGTTTTTTGATGTGAACGTAGATTTCCACTCTTACTGAAACTCTTTCCACACTCTATACATGTATAGGGTTTCTCCCCAGTGTGAGTTCTTTGATGTAAATGTACATTTTGACTTGAAGTAAAGCTCTTCCCACACTCAACACATGTGTAGGGCTTCTCCTCAGAGTGAGTTTCTTCATGTAACCGCTGACTAAAGATATTTCCATATTCAATGCATTGATATGTTTTCTCTTCCATGTTGGCAATGATATGTTAATTTAATTGCAATATGGATACTTGATTCTTCTTTTTTTCTTTTCTGATCCAAAGTAAATGTCAGAGTTCAGCAAGATCAGAACCTTCTTCCTTGCTGCACATTTGACTTTCACATTTCTTGAACTCCACTAAAAACTTGTTGGTTCTTCATGAGGCCAGAGATGACTCCATACAATCCTCATTTCCCTGGTCAAGAAAGAAGTAGAAAATCAGGAATGAAAGCCAAAAGTTGTATCTATCTCCATCTGAACATGAGGAAGAACTTCCTGACTGCGAGAGCTGTTCAGTAGTGGAACTCTCTGCTGGTGGAGGCTTTTAAACAGAGGCTGGATGGCCAAATTTGAATGCAAATTTCCTGTATCTTGGCAAGAGGTTGGACTGGATGGCCAATGAGGTCTCTTCCAACTCTGTGATTCTAGGATTCCCACAAAGCCATGACATAAAGGTCAAGATGGGACATACAGTTCTTTATACATACTCTAGGGCGGCATACAATTGGGGATGGGCGGAGGAAACAACTCCCGTCTCGTTATGCCTGAAGAGGGAGGCAGAAGGAGGCCTGATCCTTGCAGCCCAGGAGCAAGCCATCCCAACAAAGGCCATTAAGGCCAGGATTGAAAAATCAGCGGGTGACCCAAAATGCAGACTGTGTAAGGAAGCAGATGAAACCATGGACCATTTCCTCAGCTGCTGCAAGAAAATCGCACAGACGGACTACAAACAGAGGCACAACTCTGTGGCCCAGGTGATTCCCTGGAACTTATGTCACAAGGACCACCTGCCAGCAGCAAAGAATTGGTAAAGGGATCATAAACCCGCAAAGGTCGTGGAAAATGAACACGCAAAAATACTTTGGGACTTTCGAATCCAGATTGGAACGCAATACACCAGACATCACGATGGTGGAAAAGAAAAAGGTTTGGATGATTGATGTGGCCATTCCAGGTGACAGGCACATTGATGAAAAACAACAGGAAAAACTCAGCCGCTATCAAGACCTCAAAATCGAACAGCAAAGGCTCTGATGGCATCAACCAGTACAGGTGGTCCCAGTGGTCATGGGCACACTGGGTGCCATGCCAAAAGATCTCAGCCGGCATTTGGAAACAATACACATTGACGAAATCACAATCTGTCAAGTGCAAAAGGCCATCTGACTTGGATCTGGGCGCATTATTCGAAAATACATCACACAGTCCTAGACGCTTGGGAAGAGGTCGACTTGTGATTTTGTGATACAAACTCCAGCACAGAGATATCGTTTGCTGTGACATACTGTGTTTGAGTCAGTAAAATAGTAATAATAATAATAATAATAATAATAATAATAATAATAATACCAGAAACTTCAGAGGCCTTCTGGTCCAACCCCCTTCTCCCATGCAGGAAAAACACAATCAAAGCACCCCCAACAGATGCCATCCAGCCTTTCTAATTGTAACAACAACAACAACAACAGAAACCCATGCAGGAAAAACATAATCAAAGCACCCCCAACAGATGCCTTTCCAGCCTTCGTAACAACAACAGCAACAGCAGCATATAAGAAATCCAGCATATATATCACATTTGCTGTGTCATACTGTGTTTCAATAGGTCATGCCTATGTTTAATGCTTCGTATTGTATGTCTCCTGCATTATTTTGCATATGTGGAAACCTTCGGGAGATAGGGAGATATATAAATAAAGTTATTATTATTACTACTAGCTGTACCCGCCACGCGTTGCTGTGGCCAACCTTCCCTCTTTCCCTCCTTCTTTCCCTCCTTCCTTCACTCCCTTCCCGTCTTTCCTTCTCTTCTTCCTTCCTTCTCGTATCTCTTTCCTTCCTTCCTCCTTTTTCTTTCTCTTCTGCTGTCTCTCTTTTATTCTCTCTTTCTTTCCCTCCCCCTTTCTCTACATCTTCCCCCTTCCTTCACTCCTTCTTTCCTTTTCCCTTCCTTTTTTCCTTCCTTCACCCTTTTTCTTTCTCCCTTCTCTCCTTTCTTCCTCTCTCCCTCTTTCCTTCCTTCTTCTCTCTTCTTCCTTTTCTTTCCCTTCCTCCTTCTTTCTTTCCCTCCCTCTCCTTTCTTTCTTTTTTTCTCCCCTTCTTCCCTCTTTCTTCCTTTTTTCTGTATTGTCATTTAGCTTTTTGTCATTTAGCTTTTGGGCTTTTTAAGTCCCTTCTGCTAGTGTTTTTATGAGAGAAGGACATCCATTGGCCTGAGAGGTGCCTTGTGTCCAAATTTGGTGTCAAGTCGTCCAGTGGTTTTTGAGTTGTGTTAATCCCACAAACGAACATTACGTTTTTATTTATATAGATTATCATTATTATTATCATTATTATTATCCTGCTCCTGCTCCTGCCGCCCACCCCTCGCAGCCCGTCGAGACCCCTCCTCCTCCTCCTCCATCCGGGAGATGGTGATGGGGATGACGTGGCGTCGGCCTCCCTCTTAGTGGACCTGTCCCCTTCGGAGCAGAGTGCCGCCATGACCTCCGGCTCCGCTTTCCTGGGCTGGAACTGGTCCCCTGGCACACAGAACTCTCCTTTTTAGTGGAGCTGAAACCCACCCCCCAAAACACACCACTTTGCACTGCCTGTTCTCTGCCCCCCTCCCTGCCACACACGCACCACGCTCTTCTTCACTTCAGGGCCTTCCCACAATGTCACTGGGTTCCTGGTGGGCACCTCCATTCAACCCCCAGGCTCCGACCCTCTGGCCACCCTCTGCCCATCCTTCACCTCGTGTCCCGTGGTGCACGTGGAAGCAGACCTCATGCGCATGTGGCTGGTGGAGCTACTGTCCGTGGGAGGCTAGCAGAACCGCCTCGCCAGTCACAGCACACAACACGGGATGCAAGGTGATGGGCAGCAGGTGTCCGAAGGGGTGGAGCCATAAAGGTGAAGGGAGTTGCCCCACCAGGAAATTGGCTTTTTTTTTCAGGCCAGGGGCGACTTAAGAAACTGCAAGTTGCTTTTGGTGTGAGACAATTGGCCATCTGCAAGGACACTGCCCAGTGGACACCCAAGATAAGGAGCCCCCGGTGGCGCAGTGGGTTAAACGCTTGTGCCGGCAGGACTGAAGACCGACAGGTCACAGGTTCAAATCCGGGGAGAGTGTGGATGAGCTCCCTCTGTCAGCTCCAGCTCCTCATGCGGGGACATGAGAGAAGCCTCCCACAAGGACGGTAAAACATCAAGAACATCCTGGCGTCCCCTGGGCAACGTCCTTGCAGACAGCCGATTCTCTCACACAAGAAGCGACTTGCAGTTTCTCAAGTCGCTCCTGACATGACAAAAAACCAAACCAAAACAAAACCCGGATGTTTTCCCATCCTGTGGGAGGATTCTCTCATGTCCCCACCTGAGATATATAAGTATTTATAAGACTGAGACTGTGTCCTTGAAGTGACTGGACTGACCTTGAAGGAGACCCTGGGGGTGGTGACGGCCGACAGGGAGCTCTGGCGTGGGCTGGTCCATGAGGTCACGAAGAGTCGGAGACGACTGAACGAATAAACAACAACAACAACATAAGACTGAGAGGCTTTGCAGGTGATGGAATGATTGTGTTAGAACAGGGCGTCACATTCCTCTTCACGGAGGGACACATCATCATTATTATTGTGGAGAGAAAACTCTTATTATTACTATTATTATTACATATACATAATTATAAGCATATTATTATGTATGAGTCCCCTTTGGGGAGATAAAGCTGGGTATAAATAAACATAATAATAAGCATAGTAATAATAAGCATAATAATAAGCATAATAATCATAATAATAAGCATAATAATAATAATTTTCTCTCCCCAAAGGAGACTCAAAGAACCTTAAATTTAAAGGATTTCAATACGATTTAATATTCACAAACATTCAAACATTAAAATAGAATTAAACATCAATCATAATTTAAAAATGAACAGTTAAAATCCATAAAACTGATTAAAAATATATTCAGAGCTAAAACCACAGCACCTCCTTCTGACTTAGAATCCTAGAATCCAAGAAGAGTTGGAAGAGCCCCCCTCCTGGGCCATCACCCAGTCCAACCCCATT